CACAATTAAAACCAAGAAGTATAAGGGAGGGTCTTACTTTATTTATTTTATTTTATTTTATTTTGATTTGATTTGATTTGATTTGATGATTTATTAATTTATTTTATTATTTTAACCAATAATGGACCTAACCTTCCATGCTTGGTTTGTCCTCTGGCAATCATTTATCTTAAAAGCAAGAAGACATATTTCTGTGCACTTACTCATGTTTGCATTATGACTGAATGGTATCATTGCCTGTTTTCTCTCTTGGGCAGAGAATAGTTTCCATTCCTAATTACAACAAGGTAAATCTTGACTGTTCTCACCTCCCTCAAGAAAGAGATTTATGTCTTGCAATGGAATTTTGCCAAGATAGCTATGTTTTGAAATTAACTGCTGTGCAGCTTAATAACCTACACTAATGACTTGTTGTCAGATAGCTTGGAAATGCATTCCCTAGTGTGAAACTCTTGCAAACAAACTTGGCTCGCTGTTAAACTTTCTAGACAAATTGGTTTATGTAAAGTACAATTCAAAGGTAAATGTTTGTGTGCATTCTGTGGTTCTTTTCCTTTACATTTTATATTACAGCTGTTTTATTACAGCTGTTTTATTTGGGATTGTGCAAGAGAATCATCCTTTTTAGTGCAACACCATGACAGTGCATGGTTCAGAAGACACAAAAATGTGTGGTTGCAGTTTGACATTAATGACTCAGCCTCAATGTAAGAGGCACAAAACATGCAAAGTTGTAACTTTTTATTAGAACAGTGCCTGACAGTGAAAGGAAATGCAAATATTTAGACTTAGCAGTCTTCAACATGATTAAGAAAATGTGAGGTTATATACAGGTATATATTAAAAAAGGCACCAGTTATCCTATATTTTAGAAGTACATTCGTGTTGCACAATTTAGGAATACTTATATTAGTGTTCAATGGATATTATATAGAAATATTGTTTTATTATTATTGTTATCATAGGGATATGATAGAGCCTTGGGGACTAGGTTAGGCTGCAAAGGGAATGTGGGGAGGGATTAATATAAGATGGATGATTATGGAATCATAATGGTCGCCTTAATTATGCTCCTGATTTAAGATAATTAATTCACAGATACAGGACATATTTATGTAAGCTTTGAAGGGGTTGAACATTCTAGATTTCATTTCAAAGAAAGAAATAATGCAACATAAAGAAAAAGCTTGGCAAATTCAACTAAACCTGTTTACATATCAAACTATTAAGGCATGATCCTTCTGTTTAAACATTTATGGCTGCTGTTACCAGAGTTCAGTCAACCGGGTTAATGGGAAGTCACAATTATGTGAAAAGTGTGCCACAGTATCAAAACCCAAGAGTCTACTATGTGAAAGCTGCATTTAGGCACTATTGAAAACACATATGAAGTGTGCATGAAAGTGCATGTTTTATGGGTAGCAACTTCCTTATATTGAATACATCCTTTCCTGGAGCCACATGAGCCCAGAAAAAGACACACTTCATTAAGGAGTTGCTACCCATCTTTGACATGAGCACTCCAAATGATCTTTTCCCCTTTGACTCTGAATTGCTGCACAGCCCTGTTAACTATGACTTAGGAGCCAAGGGAAATGAATATAGCTTGATCCATCCCTTTAAGTTTAAATGTAAGAGATAAAGTCCTCCAGCTTATGAGGTAGCTATACACCCACCTCAGTGCTAAAGACATTCATTAAGAATTCAAACTCCTGGTTATAGGGTCTTTGAAAATTCATGTTCA